AACCACTTGGGGGCTAGCTTCCTGGGGGCAGCCTTAGCCTTGCTCATCTGCTGTCCCTGGGCCCCTCTTCCTGTCCTGCCTAGTCAACATGTAGTCAGTTGTGGAGAGTGCCCTCTCCTGATATGTTGACATCTCCTCTCTTCTCCCTTCCCCCCCAAATAGGTTTTTAAACGACTTTGCTGTCAGAAGATGTTTTTCCTTCCGACACTATCTCTCCGGAGAGTTTCTGGTCAAGAGAATTATGTTGAGGCTGCAGATTGTGAGAGAATTGCTCCTAATGGGGAACAGACGGACAAGACACCTTTCATGTCCAGCCAAGTTTCTCTCCCCTCCTCTTTCTCTCTCTCTCTCCCTCTTCTCATCTTCCCTTTTTGGCTTCAGAATTGGCCCTGGTCTTCGCTTGTTTCTTTGGTACATCTGCTGAATAAGGTCACACATTGATTTTATTTTGGAAATTGGCAGCCCCCAGTCAAGCCGAGCTCCGAGGCTGCAGAACCAGGCCACTGTTGGATGCCGATGGGGACAAACCTAGCATGCATCTGGCACAGGGCAGCCTAACTCATTAACAGCTGAGAAGCACTCCAGTACCCAGATTGAGCCATCTGCTGCTGAAGCATCTCAGAGTCAGGCTCGTAGAAATTAAATATAAGGAAGGCGCTGCGTCATCGATCTGGTCCCCTTCCAAACGCTCCTTCCGTTGACCTGTCCAGACCTTTATAGGGAAGAAAGTGTTAACTCTGAGGCCCGTGGGGACGCTTAGGTCGTTAAAGGGGGACTTAAGTGTAAGCACCTTGTAAATGCCCACTCAAGTGCTGGTGAAACAGCTCAGCGGGAAGAAGTGTTTGCTTTGCAAACACGAGGACCCGAGTTCGATCCCTGGATCAGGGTGGAAGGAGAGCACTGATTACAGCAAGTTGTCCTCTGATCTCCATATGCACACCTGTGCTCAAGCATGCCATGCACACACGGTGTAATTATAAATATTTAAAAAAACAAATGTCTACGCAAACAAACAAAACCATGGTATGCACAAGTTGATACAAAACAGTTGGGAAAGTATCATTTTCTTGGGCTGGGAATGTAGTTCAGTGGTAGTATACTGGCTTAGCATGTGTTAGGGTCTGGGTTAGATTCTAGAACAAAGGCAAAAACAAAACAAACAAACAAACAAAAAACCTTCCTTTCTTTGTGCTTCTCCAGAGAAGGCAGACTAGCAAAACATTTGGGAGGATGGTGGTGGTTTGGATTCCTTGGCCCTTAGTCATGAGGATGATGTAAGAGCATCCAACTGATTTCATGGTAAGGACAGTCACAGTTCTCACAGTAAACAGTTTCCAACTGCACCCTGGCAACACCCCCACCCAACCCCCTTTCAGGAACTGTCCTCCTCCTGAAGCTTTGTCGGGAAGCATATGAGTTACTTGCTTTCCATATACAAAGAGGATGCAAACCTCATTCCTTCCCCGTCTAGCCTTGGGTAACAGGAGTCACGGCCGCTCCAGCCCAGGGCTTGGGTGGGGGCAGTCTTGTACACTTGGAACCCTGTAGCCTGTGTGAGAACGGATCTGGAGGAGGAATGTGCAAGCCAGGGAAATGGGATGATGGGAGGCTGATTCTCCTTGTGTCTGGGCTTAATTCTCCTTCCTTCTCACCCCCTCTGCTTGTGGTTTCAGAGTTTGTTCTGTATTTAGATACACCAGCTCTCAACCAGCACAATGGGCTGAAAAATGTGCATTTATTTCATAGCAATATGGCTTTCTGAAGTTCAAGCTGCAAATCTAATACACCACGTATCACCGGTTAAAGCAATGGAGGCCAAGTGTAGCTTGGTAGACTGCCTGCAGGAAACCCCCCAGGTGCCAGTCTTAGCATTGCCAGCTTAATATCAACAACAACAATAATAATAGCAGCCAATGATAGTCATAACAGTCTTGCGTTTACTTCTTCCTCTACCTCCAGTTTTTTTCTGACCTTAAACAAGGTTACGTGAGTGTCCCTACTTCCAAAAGAGGGATACTTACACAGAGCCTGAATATCTGATGAGGTGTCATGAGAGAATACAGGGCTGGGGAGACGGCTTAGTGGATAAATGAAGACTATGCAAGCATGAAAACCTGAGTTCCAATCCCCAGAACCCATGTAAAGCCAGGCACAGTAGCATGCGTTTGTAACCCCGGTGCTTCTATTGCAAGATGGAACGCAGAGACTAGAAAATCCCTGAAAGTTTATGGGTCAGGCAGTTTGGCATACAGAGTCATGAATGACAAAGTGACCCGGTCTCAAACAGTGTGAGGCTTGGATGTCACACATCTGAGGCTGTCCTCTTTATCTCCACACGTGTGCAGTGGCAAGGGCATGCCCCCACTTACTCACACGCATGTGCACGTACACACACAGATTAAAAAGAGGAGGGAGACCTGGAGAGCTGGTTCAGCGGTTAAGAACGCTGGCTGTTCTTGCAGAGGTCCTGGCTTTGAATTCCAGCACCTGCTAACATAACTCCAGTTCAAGGGGATCTGACGACCTCTTCTGGCCTCTGTGGGAACTGCACAAATGCAGCACATGGACACACACGCAGGCAAGACACCCGTACTCATAAAGGAAATATTTTTAAAAGGGGTAGGGGCTGGAGAGATGGCATAGCAGTTAAGAGCATTTGTTGCCTCTTCAAAGGACCCAGGTTCATTTCTCAGCACCCACATGGTGACTTACAACCATCCACCCAACCAACACCCTCTTCTGAACTCCATGAACTCCAGGCATACATGTGGTGCATACCCACATTCAAGCAAACACCCATACAGATAAAAAATTGGATGTTTTCTTTTTAAAGAGAAAGAATACAGGGGGAGAGGATTCAAAGACCATGAAGGTTTAGGAAAGTGAGTGGGGGAGGTTGGAGAGATAGCTCAGTGATTAAGAGCACTGGTTGCTCTTCCAGAGGACCCAGGTTCAACTCCCAGCACCCACATGACAGCTCACAAGTATCTGTAACTCTAGTTCCAGGGGATCTGATGTCCCACACAATATGCACAGGCAAACGCCAATGCACATAAAATAGAAATTTAAAAATGGGGAGTAGGGTGGGGTACAGAGTTTGCATTATTAAGATATGTGGTGAGGGGGGAAAAGGTTGGGAAGAGTAAGAGGACCATCAGGGTGGGAGGGGTCAAGAGAGGGTGATGGGTGGTGATTATGATCAAGATACATTCTGTACATGAGAGTCACAATGAAGTCTGTTACTGTGTATAATTAGTGCACATAAACATGATGTAAAGCGGTAAAGGTCAGGGCACAGCCTCACGGCACTGCACGTGCCAGGACGTTCCATCTCCAGTGCCATAGCTGTGTCTCTGTGTGTGGACTCTTTCCAAGAGACCAAATCCCATAGCTATGTCTCTGTCTGTGAGTGGACTCTTCCCAAGAGACCAAATCCTTGGTACATCGCCCCGGGCCTCCTGAGCCTCTCAAACCCCATGCTGCCTTCTGGGATATGGGATGGCTAATCTGGGTTGTCAACTCGACAACATTCGTAAGTAACTAAAACCCAAGCGGCTGGGCACACCTGTGAGGGGTTTTTCTTGGTTGGCTATTTGAAGTGGGAAGACCCGCTTAAGTCGGGATCTTTTGAGGTCAGAAGACCCACCCTAAATCTGGGCCACACCTTCTGGTGGCTACCGCATAAAGACTCGGAAGAAGGAAGTTTGTTACTTCTGTCTGCCTGTCCCACCCTCACTGGCAAGCTTATCTATCACGAGCCATTCCTTCGAGGGTGTTAAAATCTTCCTTTTGGGGTTCCAATGCGGTTTGAAAATTGGCAGCTCCTAGGACCTCCTTGGACTCCAGCGCCTGGACTGCTGGGATATCCAGTCTTGTGGATGGAGCGACTACCGCATCCTTGGCCTTTCTAGCAGGAGACATCTGTTGTTGGACTACTTGGACCTCAGCCTGTAAGTCACTCTAATAAATCCCATATATATGTATTTTCATTCTATCTGTTCTGTTCCTTAAAGAACCCTAACATGATAGGGGATGTATGAGCTCCTGTACACACATACACACACACACACACACACACACACACACACACACACGCCCCAGAACAAAACCCAGGGCATGGATTGTCAGGGAGAGATGGCTAATTCTGCATTGGGTGGATGGGTGGGTCAGACTCTAAACTTGCCCTGATGCTGTCACTGCTGCTATAAAAACATGGGAGTAACCAGACCAGCTGTCTCACATTGAAACAAAGACAGTTTCATAGCCTGGCCGAAGTTTCTCAAGAGAGCCACCCTGCTGTGGGAGCACTGGTTATAGTCTGGCTTCCTTCGACTGGACTAAAGCCTCTCCTGGCTTCTCCTCTGCTTCATCTAAATCTCTAGGTATAAGCCAGGGGGACCTTTTATTGCTTAACTATTTCACTTTCCCCAAAGCTCCCGGAATCACCCTCAGATCCTTAATCAAGTCAGCACAGATGTGAGATTGCCAGAAGCACCCGAGAGTCTGAGAGTCCATGTGTCACCCAGAACATGTCCTCTCTGGCCTCCATTTCTACTCACAACACAAGTAAGACTAAGTGCCCAGGGAGCCAAGTATGTGTGCTCTTCAGGTTGGCCAATGTCGCCATCTAGAGGCAATCGAAAGAGCTTCATGCAGGGAGTGGGGGCAGGCTCCTTTCTGATTCCTGACATGCATTTTCTTTATTGAGGCAGCGTCTCAATATACAGACAGCCCAGGTGGCGTGAAACTTGCTATGTAGCCCTGGCTGGTCCAGAGCTTGTCACCATCCAAGTGTTGTGTTTACAGGAACGTCACTAGGCATTACAAAGACTGTTAGAGGTTCAGGACCCTTCTTGTATATGTGGCATGGCCTTGGTGGCATCCCTGACCCAAGGAAAGGCCTCTGCAGAACCAGGCTGGCATGATGCCAGACAGGGAACACAGTGCTTCCCATCAGCCCCAATGTCCCCTTGGTTACATTCACTCATTACACCAGGCCATAAAAATAAACCTTTAATTTCTTGGTAGTTGGCACAGATGGTATAATTCAAGCTCATGTTCGTTTGTATTTAGCAGACTCTGGAATACCACGTGAGCTTCGACTGAAACAGAACAAGGACCGCAGTGGTTTAAGTTTATGAAATTACATTCAGCAGTAGCAGCAGCAGCAGCAGCAGCAGCAGCAGATTCTGAAGTTACTGGGTAAAGGAGGGACAGGGCGAGGCAGGAGTGATCAAGAGAAAAGGCAATCAGGAGACAAACAGCCTGCACGGAGGCTCTTCTCTGAGGGCCGGAGACTTGAGCGTCCTAGTTTGTTTTGTTATTTACTTATCTGGTTTTTAAACAGGGTCTCATTGAGCCTTTGTCTGGTGTCTAATTCTCGTTCTTTCTGCCTGCACCTCCTGAAAGCCAGAGTTACAGGTAGGCGATACCACACACAGCTGCTTCCTGGTTCTTGAAGATCTTCCTGCATTATGAGCAATCAAGAGCTACAAGACCCAGTGCTTACAAACTTCCCCGGGAAAAGAAAAAGCAAGTGAAGCCTTGTTGAAACCATGTGCCGGAACTGATCCTGAAGGACCATGTCTCCGAGTGGGAGATGGTCTTTGCTGAAGCCACAAAAGAGTTATGATCGAGAAGAAATCCTGTCACTCTCTTTCCATCATTATAGTCCTCAAGTCCCTCAGCAGGATGACGTCAGAAAGGCCCAAGTGCTCTTTACAAGTTATCCTGGACTTTCAGGTCAGCGCCACAGAGGAGCTGTGACTAGAGACATCTACTGGTCAGGGTAGAAACTGGGAGCAAAGATCACTCATCCCAGAGTAGCGAGGAGTGTTCGGTGAGGACTTGTAGGGTGTTCTATTAAGAGGGGGATGGCAAATGGGGATTCGTCTGATTTTCAGGGTTATGGGCACCAGCAACAGGGCTGGGTCCTTCTAGCAGAGTTCAGTTGATTTCAGTTCCTGGCTACTGATTCGGTGTTGGTTCTGAAGTCTCAGAACTCCTCAAATTCAAGCCTGAGCCACTGCTTAACCCAGCTTTCCAGAGCAGAGGCGAAGCACGGGTGGTTTCCATCAAGACATGGCTCCTCATGGCTCTATACAGGCCACAGAAGAGTGTGATTGGGAACATGCGGACCACCATGAAAACCTAGGCTGGTGCATAGTTGATCTTTCTAGCTGGCCTCACTGTTCTTGCACCAACGGCACTGACGCCTTCAGGTCTGTCGGAGTCTTGTCTAGGGCGGGTTTCTTGGAGTAATCCCGCTCTCCAAAAATGGTGCTTCCTACCCGGACGTTTGTAGATCCCACCTCAATCTGCGGGAGAGAAGAAAGCACAAACACACACTGACGTAGCTGGTGCTGAGGCTGTACGTAGTTTTGGATGCCCTGAGACCGTGTAAGGAACAAGCAAGCTGCAGCAGGAGACGGCCAGGTGCTCTGGTGCCCTGGAGCAGGGCCACCGTTCAGGCAGTGATCTCCGCTTGCACAGTGGTTGGGCAGTTTATCCATGTGGCAGCAAAGGATGGTAGAGACTGAGGTGTGGGGGACAGAGCAGCTTATGACCAAAGGGCCATGGTTGGCTAAGTGGAAAAACCCGAAATTACCCAAATGTAGGTTCAAACTCCAGTTTAGAATTTTTATACTGTTTTCATATATACAATTTCATACTTTGATTTTTTTTTTAGAACTTTGCATCTGTCTATTTATCTATGCATGGTTTCACTATGTAGCGGTGGCTTGCATGGAATTATGGGGTAGACCATGCTGGCTGGAAGCTCAACAGCAATCCTCTTGATTCTGTTTTCCAAATGCTGGGACTACAGGAGTGTGCCACAGCACCCAGCTATTATTTACTGTCTTAGAAATTCATGTATGTGAGTTGAGCTTCCGGCACGAAGGTCACGGACAAGATGGTACCCCCAGTTCAGGTCTCTCTGCTCATCAAGCTTGGCCGATACCCAGCCCTGGTCCTCGGCATGGTGTCAAATGCTACAGTTACCTAAAGCCCCGGGCAGAGGAGGAGAGGAGGGGGCAGCGGAGGAGGAGAAGAGACTAGATGAGCTGAAACGGACTGAGAGAGAACTGGCAGAAGGTGACACCAAGTGAGGCACCCGCGAGCTTGCCTTTCTTTAGTTTCTGAGGATGAATAAAGCTTTGTCATGTTATGGACATTCACGTATGTGAGGTGCTAACACAGTACTTTGCTTCAGTTTATTTATTTATTTTTTTTGGTTTTTCGAGACAGGGTTTCTCTGTGGCTTTGGAGGCTGTCCTGGAACTCACTTTGTAGACCAGGCTGGCCTCGAACTCACAGAGATCCGCCTGCCTCTGCCTCCCAAGTGCTGGGATTAAAGGCGTGTGCCACCAACGCCCAGCTTTGCTTCAGTATATACTCACTGTCATATAGCTAATGCCCGAGGACTTATGTATGAAAACAACTTTAAAAAATCAGTTTTAAATTTCTTTTTTGGTGCTGGGGGACCAAACCCATGGTATAACACATTCATTAAACCCTAAATTATACTTCAGCCTTTCCCCACATTACATGGAGTGGATTACGTTGAGTTTTAAGTGTTTGGCTGTAATTTTTTATAAATGTTAGAACAATTGAATCACTGTTACTAGGATGAGGCATTTAAAAGACCCCCCCCCCACCTATTCCAGGGCCTACCCTGCCCCTTAGCCAGCTGGAGAGGGCACTCACAGCATGCTGGAAGTCCACGGACATGCCCATGCTCAGCTCCACCTGGTCCACGGGAATGCTCAGCTTCTCACACAGCTCCTGCCGCAGGCGCAGTAACATCTGACCAAACATAAGGGTTACCATTTTATTCTGGTTGTTTCCTGTGATGTCAAAAGAGGACCAAGTCTGTTGGGCATAGTGGTGCTTGCCTGTAATACTTGGGAACAGGCAGGAGAATCCTGAATTCAAGGCCAGCCTGGGCTACACAGGGTGCTGAACTCGTCTCCAAAACAAAGCAAGCCAAACTAAACCAAAACAGAAGAAAAGCAAAACCCATACAAATGAAACCAAGGAAAGTTACCAAACCAAAATATTTCTGATTATTCTATTCTTCATGATTTTAGGGGATGTAATAATTATCAGAAATTACTATAAGTGTTTTGGCCACATCCCCTATTTCAAGAAAACTACCAGGGCCAGGGTGCTTTCCCAGTGCGTTCCAGACCCCAGATTCCACCCCAAGCAGGGGGGACAAAACCCAGCAACACCCTAAAAGTAAAGCAAAACAAACCCAACAACAATAAAAATGCCAACTGCCAGTCACTAGAAAGAAAGGAAAGCTTGCTCTAAAATTGTTTTAGCCAATTAAAGCTGAGTTAAGGAAGGTATGTATGTGTCCGGGGGCCCAGTCTTCCTTTTCTGAGGAGAGTTCAGAAGAGGCTGTGACATTGTGCCTGACAGGCTATGTTCTGAGAGGTCCCTGAAGTGCCACACTGCTGTGGAATAACCCTCTACACTGTGAAAACGTGTTGCTCTCAATGTTAGTAAGAAGCTGATTGGCTGGTAGCCAGGCAGGAAGTACAGGTGGGACAACCAAACTGAGAATGATGGGCAGGAGAAGGGCGGGGACAGAGGAGTTGCAAGCAGAAACAGAGAGAAACAAAATGCGCATGCCGTATTGAGAAAAGGCACCAAGCCATATGACAAGGCATAAGAAAGATGGGTTAATTTAAAATGTAAGAGTTAGTAACAAGCCTGAAGTATTTTAATTAATATCAAGACTCCTTGTTGGCTACTTGGGAGCTGGTGGGTGGGAAAGAAACGTCCACCTACACCACACAGTCAGCCCAGCAAGCAGTGTGATGCTACTGAACCCACCAGAGCTGGGACCAAGCACAGGCGAGGCACATGCTGGATACACCCTACCAGTGCCACACCCACAGCCCCAGGATGCTTCTGAGACACAAGAGCATCACTCTGACCCCAGTACCTGGAAGTCTGGGTTTGGTCCTTGACTAAGATCATGTCCAAAGCTTCCTATGGTCATGAGCCCCACGAACTCCAGGTTGGGGCAACTGGCCTTTATGTGTTCCACCACGGCTATGGTCTCTGAAGGCGGAAGGCCATGTTTACCTTCACAAAAAGAAACAGAAGAAGGGTATGCCAGCATGTCTTAACTAGCCAGAAGGAGGCTACACTTTCCTACAACAGAGGTGACTGAGATGAAACCTGATGAAGTAAGGTTACCCTAAGCCTAAAGAGTGACTGTGTATGTGAGGGTCCTCATGCCTGCGTCTCTTCCATTCAGGGTCTACGTTTAGATCAGATTCTCTTTACTCCATCTTTTTTTTTTCAGTACCGGAGACTGAACCCATGGTTCTGCACACACAGGCTCTACACACTAAGCCACACCCCCTAGGATTTTAGCTGAGAATGGCTGGGAGGAACGGAAAAGGAAAAGTACATTGTAGTTTGAATGAGAATGTCCCGTATAGCATCCTGTGTTTGAACGCCCCCTTCCCAGCTACTGGCACTGTTTGCCTAGGCCTAGGAGTTGTGGCCTTGCTGGAAGTATGTCATGGGTGCCAGCTCTGACATTTCCGAGCCACGTCTCATTCCTAGTTCTCCCTCTGCTCCATTCTTGTGGTTCAAACGTGAGCCCGCAGCTTCTGTTCCAGCTGCCGGCTCCCCTGCCACAGACCTTATCCCCCTGGAACCATAGGCCAAATAAACGCTTCCTTCTGTAAGTTGCCTTGGGACGCGAGGGAGAGCCACACTGACTAAGTCCTAGATGAATCTTGGAACTTTTTTCTAAACTTGGCATCCTTATGGTTTTACCAATTTATTAACAGAATGCAAAACAGAAATGCAAAAAAATAAATTATGTACACATAATAAATTTGGGGCTGTATATTTGCGAGGTTTAATTTACTAGTTGCTGGGCATTGGTGGCACACGCCTTTAATTCCAGCACTTGGGGAGGCAGAGGCAGGTGGATCTCTGTGAGTTTGAGGCCAGCCTGGTCTACAGAGCGAGTTCCAGGACAGCCTCCAAAGCCACAGAGAAACCCTGTCTTAAAAAACCAGAAAAAAAGAGTGGCTGGGGACTGCGAAGATGACTATGTGTTCTGTAGCTTAAGACTTATCACTGTTGCTTTGCCTTTGCCCCTTTTAGTAAATGGAGTCAGCAGGAATTTTCACTGTTATTTAATTAGGGCAAATCACAGCTAATTGTCAAGAAATGTAATAAAGACACTCTGGAGTCAGTTTTGTATCTACTTACACGCAATGTAGTAAGTCAGGGAGCACTCATATAACATAGTAATGGTAACCATTAAAATCTATTGAACACTGTGTCAGCCCCAAGACTTTACATTTCATACAGTACTCTAAGTATTCTTACTAGTATCAGTCTCCAGAGGAAACAGAGGCAGGGAGGCTAAGTCCTTTTTAGGTTACACGAGTAGAACTGTGAACCTGAGATTTGAACCTAGCCAGGCTGACTCTAGGGCACATCTGGGAATCATGCCCATACCGAGCTCCTTCATGCCAAGATCTGCTGCACGTGAGTGCTTAGAAGATGGTTGTACGCAAATGCCTGGCATTCACTCTTTTGTTTTGGTTTTGTTTTTAGTTTTTGGAGACAAGGTTTCTCTGTGTAACAGTCCTGGCTGTCCTAGAACTTGCTTTGTAGATCAGGCTACCATCAAACTCACCGAGATCCGCCTGCCTCCGCCTCCCAAGTGCTGGGACCAAAGGCGTGTGCCACCACTGCCTGGCTTATGCATCTACTCTTAACAAAAAGCAAGTGAGCGAGACGTCCAGGGTTTCGCATCACTGCACTGAATTGTCATACACTCTTGACAGTGGGCACTCGCTCATGCCACTGCCACTTCAGAGGATTCAGGTACGAGACATTAGGGTAACTGACGGAAAGTTCCAAAGCTAAAGAGTGGTAGAGTGCAAACACTCATCTGTCTGCAGTGGTGTCCATGCTGCTCTGTAACTCACTGCTACACTGTTAAGCCAGGCCCGTGAGACAGTCACTCACTGGTGTTCAGCAGCTTCTTGTCTGCTCTCTCCCAATGACGCACTAAGGAGTATTATGTACCCAACTCTCAACCCCTTTGGTGGGGGGGGGGCGGGTGCTGATGCTGATGAGGATTTCTAGGACATCAAATTATAATAGGGTCATCACACTGCTACGTCGTGACAAAGCAGCTTACTAAAAGGCCGGCATGTCGCCCCACAACCTGCATCAGCTGCTTACACCCCCCCCCCCCCACCAGTCACCTAAGGTACCAAACATCTATGGCAGGTTAGCTCGCTTACTCTCCTCTCCACTGGTGTTGATCTGGACCATAACCTTCAGCCGTTCAGTAGAGCCTTTCTTCTGCCAGGAACTGTTCACCTTGTCTGCCAACTTCATAGAGTCCACCGTTTCCAGCATAAAGAGGTTGGGGACAGCTGTAACGAGAAAGAGGGAAGGTAGCAGTCTTCATTTTCCCTGTTGCCGGAGGAAGCATGCAGCTTACAATTATCTGTAACTCCAGTTCCAGGGCATCTGACACCTTCATACCAATGCACATAAAACAAAATAAAGCTAAATAAATTCTTTTTTAAAAGAAGCTGGTAATTAAGATTTACAATAGTAGGCCTGATCTAATTCTGTCTTAGTTCAAACTGAGTGAACCAGGTCAAATGACAAAGAATAGAGGCTGCCATGTGGGTGCTGGGAATTGAACCTGGGTCCTCTGGGCAAACTCTTGTGTTTGTCTTCTTGGCCAGTCATAACATTTAACTGTCCTTTTCTTTTCCTGGAATACTTCTCCCTCTATCAGATTAAAGGTTTATAGCATGCTTCCTCCCCAAGGTTCTATAACCTTCCTAAACAGTGCCACCAAGGGTGACCAATGGTTCAAATACATGAGCCAATGGGGGATGTTTTCCATTCAGACCATTACAGGTCTTATCTCACACACACACACACACAAAGCAAATAATGCAGGCTGGGGACGTGTGGTTTAGTGGCAAAGCACTTGCCTCCCATGTTACAAGGCTCTGGGTTCCATTTTCACCATGGAAGAGGAAGACAGGAGGGACAGAGGTTAGCCAACTGCCTGGAAGATTTCCGTGCTCAGTACAGTAAGCTAGTGGGGTTGCATCACAGTCATTTGTCTGTGGCAAGGGTCATAGTTCATCTTCGTAGGTGGCTTTGATGACCTCACTGTCTGACTGAACATCCAATGTGAGGTCTGGAGTCCTTGTCAAATAAGGAGAGCCGTCCCACAAAGTTTAAGAAGGGGAGGTGGAGCCTTGCTGGAGGAAGTACATCTTCGAGGGCAGGGCACAGCTTTTAGAGTTTAGTCTCATCACACTTCCTGTTCTCTCTCCCTCAGCCTCTTCTGCTTCCTGTGTGGAAGCAAGTGTGATCAGCCAGCTTCCTATTCCTGATGTCATGCCATGCTTTCATTCACTGAGCCATCTGGTCAACCTTCCTCATCTTTTAAAGTAGTCCAAGCTGGGAGGGTATTATACATCTCTGAAGCAACAATTTATAAGGACCAAGTGCATGGAATAAAAGATCATGATCTCTGAGAGTGGGAAACAAATGATGTGAGCCCCACAATTGCCCTAGCTTTCCCCAACAGGGCACTGGGAGGAAGACACAGGTGGAATGTGTGAACTTTGAGCTGTGAGGATAGGAAGGGTCCAGAGCTCACTCTGCTGAATGTGAGTGACTCAGTGAACCAGTCAGTGATCTTAATGGACTAGAGTGTTCAGCTGGGCACTGATGCGTGCACACATGCAAGGAAGTTACAGGTTAGGAGAATCACAGCCTGAGATTCACAAAGCACATGCAACACTGGTCAGCATGGAGATACTCGTATATAAAGGACAGCTATGCGGCTATGCCTTGGTAGTGTAAATAATTCTAAACTCAGATCTGGCCTGGCTATCCACCAACTGCTATTAACAAAACCCAAAGCTGGATACTGGCACACAACTTTAATCCCAGCACTGAGAGGCAGAGGCAGATCTTTGTATTTGAGGCCAGCCTGGTCTCCTGAGGGAGTTTCAGGACAGCCAGAGCTCACAAAGAAACCCTGCTATGAGAGATCAACCAACCAACCAAAAACCCAAAACCCTAAAGGGATCAAATTGTTCCAATAAAATATAAACTATGCTCTAGAACAAAACCAGAAGAATATTTATAGGAATATAAAAATAGCTAGAACTAAGCAAGATAAAATTCATGTCTGAAATCCAAATGAAAATGTCAGGCATCTTGCTAGGTGTATTGGTGGCTCATGTCTGCAGTTCCAACAATCAGGGTGAGACAGGAGGATTACCACAGGTCCTAGGCCAGCGTAGATTATAGAGTAAGTTCCAGGCAAGTATGGGTTAGAGTCAGACTCTGTCTAAAAAAAACAAAAAAACCCAAAGCCCAAAAACAGAAAACAAAGGCAAACCAAACCAGCAATGTGAAAAGCAATTATTCACAGGACGGTATATGATGAGAAATTACATTAGCTGAAACTGATCCAAAACAGAGAGAATCAAAGAATTAGTAGATAAGGACAGTAAGTTATTTCTTCCATGTATCTAAAGACTCAAACTTCTAGCCAAAACAAGCGCCTCTCCCCCAAACTACAATGTATCAGATGACAGACTCTGATAACTGACTAATTAGGCATTAGGCACAGTCAATGAAATTATTCAGAATGGCAAAACCAGTTGTCATTGCTTTTGTCAACTTGACACAAGCCAGGGTCATCTGGGAAGAGAGAGCCTCAACTGAGAAAATGCCTCCGTAAGAGACTAGCCTGTAGGTAAAAGTCCACGGGCATTTCTTGATTAATGATTGATGTGGGAGGGCACAGCTCACTGAGTGGGGCCACACCTGGGCAGGTGGTCCTGGGTTGTAGAAGACAGTGGGCTGCATAAGCCATGAGGAGCAAGCCTTTGGGATTAATTCTATAATGACTATCTCATTTTATGCTTTTATTAGCCATAACTCCTTGTTGTATTATTTCTATGGTGGTCTTATAATTTATAGCATAAAAATTAAAGCTCCAAAATCTTTTTTTTAAAAAAGATTTATTTATTACATATACAGTGTTCTACCAGAAGAGGGCACCAGACTGAATTGTAGATGGTTGTAAGCCACCATGTGGTTGCTGGGAATTGAACTCAGGACCTCTGGAAGAGCAGTCAGTGCTCTTAACCTCTGAGCCATCTCTCCAGCCCAAAGCTCCAAAATCTTAACCTTCTTGGGCATCACATACATGTTTAAACCTCACACTATAAGGTTAGTACATTTAAACAATTAATTAAAGATTGTGGTGGCACACACCTATAATTCCAGCATTTGGGGGACAAGGCAGGAAGATGGTAAGCTCAAGGCCACCCTATCCTACATAGCCAGGCTTGTCTCAACAAAATAAAACAATTCAAAATGAAACACAGGAGAAATTTATTTAATTTTTTTAAGTTTTATTTTAAATCTTTTTATTTTATTTTAAGCACATGGATGTTTTGCCTGCAGGAAGGTCTATGTACCACATTTGTACCATTAAGAGTGTTGGATCCCCTGAAATTCGAGTTAGAGACAGTTGTGGGCTGCCATATGGGTGCTGGGTAATCAACCCAGGTCCTCTGGAAGAGCAACAAGTACTCTTGACCTCTGAGCCATTTCTCCATCCCCTTAATTTTATTTCATTGAGGCAGCTAGCCTGAAACTCTCTATGTAGACCAGTGGCCTCTAACACAGAGATCTGCCTGTCTCTGTAGAAAGAATGAAAACAGTCATGTCTAAAATAGTATAAGTGCCGGGCGTTGGTGGCACACGCCTTTAATCCCAGCACTCGGGAGGCAGAGGCAGGCGGATCTCTGTGAGTTCGAGGCCAGCCTGGTCTACAGAGCTAGTCCCAGGACAGCCTCCAAAGCCACAGAGAAACCCTGTCTCGAAAAAAAACAACAACAACAAAAAAAAATAGTATAAGTAACTGGAGATGAAAGGATACAGTGTGAAGAAATAATGGTTCAAAATCTTCTTTTATTTTTTGTTACATTTACTTATTAATCCTGAGTGCTGGGAATTTTGGCTTGTGCCACCACATTTGGCAGAGTAGCTTATTTGTGATACCTCAAAACTAGAAACTAAATATTCATCAATGTGAATGGAAGAACTGTGATATATTTATTCAGTGGAATACTACTGAATAAGAAGATGAAGGAACCACATAAACATGATAAAGGTCAAATGCTTGGTGAGGATAGGAAGGAATCAGATACTTTTGTTGTAGTTCCATTTACACAAAATTCCAAACCATGGCATTTATAGCATCGAAACTGAGAAGGAACACTTGGGCAAGAAGAGAGAAGAAGCCTCTGGGGTGATGGATGCCTACTGCTTGATTCTCGTATGGTTTCATGGCTGTAATCCTATGTCAAAATTTATCAAATCACTTTCAATCTATTCAGTTTACTGTAGTTGGAGTGCTGTTTTCAATTGTACTCTGGTAAAGCTGTTAAGAAACAAACAATCAAACAAAACAAAAAACCAGGGGAGGCAAGATGGTTTAGTGTATAAAGATGCCTGCCGCCAAGCCTGACAACTGAGTTCAATCCCTGGGACCCACATCCTGGAAAGAGAACCAACTACTCTATGTTGTCCTGTGACCTGTATACACACAATCAGCCCTGCCCTGTCCCCCTCAAAACAAACAAACAAACAAACAAACAAAACCAAAAAAACCAGGATTCTTAAATTTTGATATCCTGAGAAAAGTAAGTTATTTGAAATCCTCACGTCATATGGTTACGCCTTTCTGTAATTAGTAATTACTTTTTAACTCTGCTGGGGATTGACTTAGGGCCTTGTAATGCTAGGAGCACCCTACTGCTTAGCCATACCCCAATCCTTAATGCTTCATTCCTATTTTTATTTTAATATGTTTTATTCCAAGAAACCCCACAACACGAATGGTGAGCTGGGAATGTTCTCAAAGCTGCTTACTCAGAAGGTGTAGGAGCTATATATACACTCACAGAGAAGGCCTGTCTTGTGTTTAGAGTTTTGTCTTACCCATCAGTTTGTTGACATTCTGTTTCTGTAAATGGCCAATGAAGTGCCATTTGATCTCAGGACATGAAGACAGAACCTGAGGAGAAAGAGGGAACCATTGATACGGATTTCACGGAGGCCCCGTCAGCTCAAGCACCCTTCATTACCATGATCTCCTTCGACTGGGAAGGACATGGTCTCTCACTGAGACACAAGGAAACTCAGCAGTCACCTAAGCCCAATGCTGTTTCCCTTCCTTGTTCCCAGCAACTCACTGTATTTTTCTAGTATTACTCATTAGAGACAAAAATGGCTTGTATTCAAGGCAAATGCTCTGCCACTTAGCTGCATCCAACACCCTTTGATTTGTGCTTTCAAATATCCCAAGATTCCAGTAGCTCCTAGAGTCACTATTCACAAACTGCCACAAAAGAGAATATTAAAGTCTGGATAAGGACAGAAAAGTTAGCTGAGAATTATTTGGGGCTCAAGGGAAACATGGATACTTTCCATCCCTAGCCCAGCTTTCTGCTCTAAAACTCCACCACCAACACGGGTCTAACTTTCAGCTAAGAGCTAAGACTTCTATACAAAACCAACACTTCCCAGGTCTACACACCTTAGGGTTTGATGCCTTTTCTAGTAGTTCCTGCACCTAAGGAGCAAGAACAAAGTGAGTCAGAGGCCTGGTAGTCACAACTCCTCCAAGGGCTCTTTATAAGAGGTGTCTTACATAGTTCTCTCCAAAAGTGCGCTGGCCGTGACCATAGGCCTCAATCACCATGTCTGCAGGTTTAGTTTTGCTGACCGCTACTAGCCGGGGTTGGATGGCTGGGAGATCCTGCCAAGAAAGAGCAATATAAGTGAATGTGTGAAAATATTGATTCAATAAGATACACAGTAAGGTAAGTAGTGCCAGGCAGTAAAGGTGGATCTCTGTGTGTTCAAGGCCAGCCTGGCCTAAAAAAATGAGTTTCAGGATAGCCAAGGCTACACAGAGAAATCCTGTCTGGAAAAAACAAAAGATACGCCGTATAAAATAGATTGGCACAGATTTCAGCTTGAGTTGGTAAGGCTCATTTTCCCATTCTTTGTTTGTGTGGTACTGGATAAAGAACCCTGGGTTTTGGGAGCACCAGGTTTTACCACAGAGCTAGTGCTTCACCACAGAGCTACAACCCTGCCTGCTGATTTCCTTTTGAACCAGTATTCTGGATGATTCTCACAGTGCCGGAGGTTTAAAGATCTGAAGCAGAAAAGGTAGCCCGGTGGGTAAAATGCTATCCATGTAAGCATATATGCCCGTGTTTAGACCCCAACCTCCACATAAAAGGTAGGTGTGTTGACACTTGTCTGTAATCCTAGTATTTGGGGGGGGGTCGAGACAGGTGGATCCTTGGGGCTTGCTGGGTAGCTAGCTCCAGGTTCAGGGACTCAAATATTAAGTGAAGAGGGACAGAGAAAGATGACTGACCTCTGGCTTCCACACATACATGCACTGGCATGTGCCCTTGCACATATGTGAGTATACCTTTCGAATGCTTGGGTGTGTACACAAACATACCACATACAAGGTATGCACTTGTACATACATTCATATAACACATGGACACGAGTTACTTTATTGAGTTGAAGCTACAGCAATAGTGGCAGAGTGTCTGCTTAGCACTGTGAAGCTCTGAGTTGTATCCCCAGCCCCTAAAACACAAACGAAAGATAAAACCCAACAGAATCAGTTAATTAGGGAAGGTAGCATCTCATTTAGCAGGGAGGCCACTTCTGGCTTCCTCACCACACAGCAAACAGTTGAGACACTTACTTTGGGCCTGATGTAATTATTGATAATGCTTTCTTTCACTCTGAAACAGGCTTGATTTAGATAAAGACATTTTTTTTTTAATGTACCGTTCAACCTCTGATTCAACCAACCACTGGCAGAGCTGACAACAGGACACAAACAATTCTGCATTCAGGATTAGATTCATCCACACTTCCCACGTCTGTTACACAAAATGCAGGGTTTCCCTGCTTTCGGCTGCAGCAGGTCCTCACATAGCTGTCTTCATGGACCCCACCATTTCTGAGTCTTCCACAGAACCACAGTATTCTCAAGTACTCTCCATCAACATCCAGGCTCCTGTTGCTTCCCTCTGAGGGACTGTCATGTGTGTCTCGTGGATGGTGTCTAATTGCTGGCATCACGTTGATCAACTGAAGGGATACAGTATAAGCAGGTCTAACTCCCCGAGAACCTCCCAGCGAGGTGCATTAGGGAAATCTCAAGATTTCTCTTTGGAGAAACAGAACACTGGTACCACGAAGGAGGTAGGAACTCCTGGGGTCATCTCATTTCCTCCAGCAACAAGGAAACCGAGAGTTACAGAAGCTACCAGGACTTGTTTAAGGTACCGTCTAGACTTCAGTTAAGACAGTCTTCAGCCATCGTTTTGAAATCTGAGACCATAAACACTAGATCAGAAAAGGCTTAGTTTGCATGGAGAAAAGCAGATACTGACTCTAGTCTAATAAAAAGTTCAATAGGGGACAAAACTACCAATACGAAAATTAAAAATGCATGTGACTGGGCACCTGACAGCTTCCCCTACTCTGTGGAGGTAAAACCTTGAGGGTTCTCTCGCACCCTGACCAAGGGTCGTCGCCGCAATGCACGTGATCACGGGTGGATGTGGCCCTCTGAGGGCTCTAGTACTGTGGCGTTGGGATATGGGAAACGGAGAGACACCTGGACACGGGCCACTTTCCCTAAGTGAGCAACAAGCCAACCTGTAGGAAGCCCCGAGCGAGCCTTAAGGTCAGACCGCGAGGAAACCTCGCGAATCCCGCGGCCCCTCCCCACCGGGAACCCCTTCTGCGTCACTGTGACACCTAGCCCCACGCTGGTGTCCCCCTCAGCCGGTCCTCACCCGCGGTCGCCGTGACACACTCTGCTGGACACGCTCGTTCACGGCCCGCAGCGCAAACCCGACTCCCAGCTCCGCGGACATGCTGCCAGCTCTCCACATTCCCGGGAGGACGCCTAGCTGAGCCCTCGCGACCCACGGAGACCAACTTCCGGTCACGCCCCTCCACGCCAGGCCCAATCACCGCTCACCATCCAGCCACCGCCCCCAATGGAGGCTGGCGGAGGAGGTCGGCGCCATCTTGGTGAAGTCGGAGGCTATGCCGGCTGAAAATCCGAGGGACGACCAAGTGCCAGAGCCCGCGCGGGGCCAGGATTATCTATAAACAAAGACTTTTATGTGTATCGACTGTTTTGTAAATTCACACTACTTGTGAGCACCATTAAAAACCCCAAGAAAGCAGGGCTTTGGTGTTTTATGTCTGTAATCCTACCACTTGGGAAGGTGAGGCAACTTTTGAGTTTGAGGTCAGTCTGTCCTGGAGTGACCCCAGTGTCCCCAAACACTAAAAAACAATACCAAATCCCCGGGCAAGCCTAACTGGTGTTGGCAAAAGTTAACAGAAACACCAGACATGGGTGGATAATGCTGCTTAGGTTATTTGACGGGAATCTGGGTATGGGACATCTCTTTAAAAGTTGTTGGTCAGGCACACCAGCAACACAGGCTATTGCTGCTGCTTTTAGTTACTCAACTAGATGATGAGACCCTGTTGCTGAAGATACCATACTCTTCGGTTACAGGACGTAGAGAAATCAGGCTAGAACTGAGCGGGAAGCTTCCTCCTTGCTGGTTAACGTTGGTAATGCCAGAAGGTGCCAGGCAGGCTACTGGGGAGAAAAGCCATCAGTGGTATGCAGCATTGAACCTCGTGAGCATTATCAACCTGCTAGGCAGGATGTGCAGTCGTGATATGCCTATTAGGGGAGCAACCAAGTGCTTTTTGATTGGATTTGAGGCCTACTCGATAGGAGGAATTCACACCTACTACTGTAAACCAGGCGAAAAGCCCATGGTCAGAGAGGACATAGGCCCTAGTGGATTACCTACTACTATTGTTTGCTGAATGGACCTGGTATGAAACTGTCTTCTAAGTATTTATATTCATAGATTAGTGCTGACTTTCAGCCCTGGTCAGAGAAGCCGTATTTTCTTATGAGAAATGAATAGTCACAACTGGTCCAATTGTTGAAAATTCGTGACTATTGAACCCTAACGGCGTATCTGTATCACACCGACCAGGCTCCAAGAACTCCTTGGAAGAGAGGGATGGGAAAAGATGTAAGAGTCAGAGGCTAGGGAGGGGAGCTGTGAAACGTCTTCTGGGTATACCATGGCTCCTGCACCCTTCACGGCAGCAACAGCGGTCACCTGTACAAGTCTGTGTCCATCAGCATCCCACTGTGGACAAGGCAAGAGTCCAAGAGGCCCCACCAGTTTCTGGGGAGCTTGAGGCAGCTGCAGTGGCTGGGGGATGGGGAGGGGGCATATTTCTCAGTGGTGTTGCCCTTACCCAAGTAACTCCCCACCCAGGCTCATGAAAGCAACCCAGAGTAGGAAGGAGACTTGTTGTGAAGAAAAGGTTTGGTGTGTGTGGGGAAAGACTAAGAGGATAATGTGTGGGGGGGTATGATCAAAGTACCAATTGTGAATCATTTTCTCTCCTTTTTTGAGGGGGGGTTGCTTTTTGTTTTTTGTTTTTTTTTCAAAACAGAGTTTCTCTGTGTAGCCCTGGCTGTCCTGGAACTCATTCTGCAGACCAGGCTGGCCTTGAACTCAGAGATCTGCCTTCCTCTGCCTCCTGAGTGAATGCTGGGATTAAAAGCATGTGCCACCACTGCCAGTGGAAAGAATCTTTTCCAGAAAGAAATAAAACATACTTTGACATAAGAAGCCAACGAGAACTACTACTGGAGGGCTGGAGAGATGGCTCAGAGGTTTAGAGCACTGGCTGCTCTTCAGAAGGACCCTGCTTGATTCTCAGCACCCACGTGGCAGCTCATGACTGCTTATAAACCAGCTCCAGGGACTCCACGCCCTCTTTTGGCCTCCACAGGTGCTACGCATGCATGCGGTGCACACACATACATGCAGGCAAACACCCTGCACTACACGTAAAAAACAAAAACAAAACCCAACTTATTTTAAATACTTTTTTTTTTTTTTTTGGTTTTCTCTGTGGCTTTGGAGGCTGTCCTGGAACTAGCTCTTGTACACCAGGCTGGTCTCCAACTCACAAGAGATCCTCCTGCCTCTGCCTCTCAAGTGCTGGGATTAAAGGTGTGTGCCACCACCACTGCCTGGCTAGCAAGTACTTCTATAGAAGTAGGTTTGTGCAGTGTTTGGGATGGGATACAGCTGTAAAATTAACTGACATTCACATTTATCTGATGACACTAAGCTAGGCAGTTTGCCAGTGGCCAGTCTGGGAGTTACCTACTTACACTGCCATCACATGAGTTTGAGGTCAACCAGGAATGCCTTTATCTTTAGGAGATATGCAATAGTGTGTTTATTCTGTTTGCTTTTGAAAGGGTCTTACTATGTAGATCAGACTGGAATCAAACAGGCCCTCCTGCTTCTGGGGCTAAAGGCTTGCATCATCATGCTGGGAAGAATATATCACCTGGATATATATTTAAGGAAAGCCTAACAGGAAAGTTTATTTCTATTACCTCTCCTAGAATTAGCTACTGGTAAATTTTATTTATTTATTTATTTATTTATTTTTTGTTTTTGTTTTTGTTTTTCGAGACAGGGCTTCTCTGTGGCTTTGGAGGCTGTCCTGGAACTCGCTTGGTAGTCCAGGCTGGTCTCGAACTTACAGAGATCCGCCTGCCTCTGCCTCCCGAGTGCTGGGATTAAAGGCATGCGCCACCAATGCCCGGCAAATTTTATTTTAATGAAAAAAAAAAAGACAAAAGACATTTTATTTAGCAAGACTGAAATTAAATCCAAGATATAAGTATATTCACATGAGACCTTTTGTGTTGTCTACAACAATTCCTGGAGCTATTAACCCAAAGTAATTAATCTAGTATTTATGGAATGATTAATACAACAAGAATCATTTTTCAGTTTTAAAGGCTCACTAATGCCCTTGGGGCAGACTGAAAAAACTGCTTTGACTATTCAGTCACCAGTTTACACAGAAGTAGAGATGAGAAGGAACGGAAGTACAGACACGATTGCCCTTTACAGCTTTTATAAGGAAACAAACAGTGGCTAGAATTCCACTGAAGACAGTCAAATAGGTGAAGTTTACAGACAGAGTGGCTATTTGTCAAGGTACAGCTTATCGATTTCCAACTTACGATAGTCCAGGTCAGCAAACATGGCAGTCTCACTCTTACAGGATACAGACACACCCACAGTCGTTCTTGAAACACCTCCCTTCTTTACATCACTGTATTACTCAGATCATTCAGGGGTTCCCCGCTCCTCAACTCAGCAACCACGCTGACTCCTCTACATATATTTTTAGTTATAAAAAGTTATTAAACTTCCTTACAAACGTTGACCATATATTGAAAAGTCATTAAAAACTGTTCTGAATAGGAATTGCTTATGTGAGCTTTAGTGAGTGACGAACATTCTACCAAGGTGGCTGTGCCCTGGGAAAATCCTACAAAAACTGAATTTACAAACAAGTTGCTTACTTTGATAGAAGTTTTTATATAAATAGCAGCCATGACTTCACTGCCTACAAAACTGCAGGCTTATCACACTTCACATCTTTCTAATTTAAATGCTTTACAATCAGATTTTCTAGTCTTACAAAAACAAAATCACACGGACAGATGGGCTAGGTGTCCCATGCTAAAAAGACAGCTGAATTCCATGATTTGACTGCTGGGACAGATGCCAACACCTACTGAATTTGTGTTAGTGACATTCAAGGTTGGGGAAGCAGCACTTACAGCAGGAGTTTACAGAGGCTCTTCGTGATAAGTGACCAACTATCTGAACCTAAGTAGCAGACAACTTTCAGACTCACACCTGAACTGACTCCAGTGAATTAGTGTTTCTGAGGCTCAGAAGGAAGAGGGGATGCTGGCTATGGCATGTTGCTCTCAACAAGTGATTATCAGCAGCAAGTGGGAGGAAGATGAGTTGGTCTTGGGTGGGAAACCCATTTTTGCAAGAACTTCTAAGCACATTTAATCTATCCTTTCCAGGAGCACTTTGTAGTCTGTACAAAGTGTGACCAGGACCAGTGACCTGAGAAATCTCTGTACAAGAAGTTAGAACAGAGAAGGGCAACATCTGAAGTATTCAGAATTAACTCTTTGCTTCTTTCTAGGCAGGCCAAATGCTACCCAAATGCCTGACAAGTACCTGCCAGTCACTTACAAGCAAACTGGCCTGACTTCTAGAACCAAAAATGAGGATTGATACCAGAAAATAGCATTTATAGTATTCACCTAAAGATAACAGTAGGGGCTTTGTGTGTGTGGGAAGGGGGGGAGCAGCTAATAACAGGGTCAAGTCCTAAGCTGGAGCTGGGCATGGTTACACAGGTTACCGCCATGGCAGCATTAACTCTGCATAGCTGCCGTCACAAAGGCCTTCTGTGCAGCACTCACAGGCCATACGAGTTGCAGCCCTGCCCCAACCCGGTCCAATTTCAGGATCTAAGAAATACTCTTCTTTCATATTTGTTCTTTCCATCCTGAATCTCCTAGGGTGACTCTTTGTTTTCCTAACTAGCAATGAAAAGCAAAACATGGGATTCAATGCTGCCCAGAAGGCATGGGCATCTGCTCTGACTTGTATCTACATAGCTGCTCTGTATTTAAAAGATCTCTTTATCAGTGAGTCAGATAAACCCCCAGCACAGGCCATAGGCACTACTACTTGGATGCCTACAGACTGGCTCTTTCTTCTCCACAGTGCCAAGAGCTCTTCAATGAAGAATCTCTACAATGATGAGCTCTTAAAGGTATACACTTACATAGCCAAATAGTACTACAGAGCCTAATGGTCCAAGGACACTACTTTATCAGCCAACCAATCCAGCACTTCTTGTTCCCATCTTGATGCTGAGTGGAACTAATAGATTATTCAACAAGAAATCAAATCACAGATCAGGTGAAAATCTGAAAAAGGAGCGTGGGGGGTGACTGAGCCCGCTGCGGTGAGATGTCATCAGAAAACACTAGGGCAAGAGTAGAGTTATAGAAAATCTTGCAAAACCTAGCACCAGGTTCTTCCTAAGGAGGGCTCAACCCAGCTTAACTAGAGTAACGCTCACACTGTCACAAAGCCCAGCAGACCACTGCTCTCTGCAGCTGATGTGCCTTGGCAGATGCCTGGGCCGTTAGGAGCCCCACATGCAGACACCGCCGCCTTCGTCAGAGGCAAGGAAGAGAACTGTGGAACCAATTTTCTCATGAAGAAAATCAAACCATGAGGAAGCAGCAGCCACACATCTCCCACTAAGCTGGTGCCTGCAGGTCAGAGGTCAAATCTATGGTGTACACACCTCACCAGAAGTCATATAACCTGCTTACCTGGATTAAAATAAAAAAACAACCCTCCATCTGCTCTCCCTTCCCAGAAGGGGGGTAGATTTATGTCCACTTCTTCCTTTTTTACAGTAACTTGAAGAGTCTAAGAAGGTGGCTTGGGAAGGAGGAGCATTCTGTTTCATCTTAAAAAATAAAGCTCTCTCTAAGCGTCACAATCAGAGGTTGTATACATTTTTTTTCAATTATCCTTTGTGGTCACCTCTAGGGGCTCATCTTCTAAGCTGAAGCCCAGCTTGTCAGTCAGCCCCTCAAACTGCTTGCCCAGACCACCTGCAGAGTCCATAAACATGTTGGGGATGTCTTTGCCAAAGTAAATCTTGCTGTTGGAAGAAATGGCCTTGTACTTCATCAGCTGCAGATACTCTGGAGTCAGCTTGACCTGTAGTAGAAAAAGAGAGGAAAGCTTAGGAGAGATGACATTAGAGAAAAACTTGGTGGCGACCTTTCAACCTTCACCTCTCATCTGGAGAGGGTCTCTGTCAAGCAGACATGCTCCTTCTACTTTTCAGTCTTCCTGTTACCCAGAAACCATTTGTCTAAGAGAAAGTAATCTAAGGTCTTATGACAGAGTAGCAACAGTGTCAAAGTTTCCATGTTTAACACAAAAATGGAACTTCTACTAAGGCTTCCCACCTAAGAGAGTGCCTATCTCACACAGCACGGGGCTCCTCAGTACCGTTGTGCAGACTCTGGGTAGGGAGCAGCAAATCCAAACACTTCCTCCGTACGGTGGGATCCGGCCTTTACCTTATTTGCTTCTGCTATTTTCAGAGCAGTGTAGCACTCAGCGTCAGCCTTCGCCTTCTCCCGGGCCAGAAACGCAGCATCTAAGGGTGAAGGGTGCAGGGAAATGGATCAAGTGAAACCCTGGGAAGGTGCAGAAGCCCATGCTCTGGGGTTGGCAATTATAGCTCAGTGGGCTAGCACTCGCCCAGCATAAACAAAGCCCCAGCTTCCATTCCTGACACTGTAGAAAACAAAAACCAACAAAGACATTTCCTGGTCTCTATGACCTTGGAGAGATACTTTCTGCATGTTTTGTTTTTGAAATGGCCTCACCTTATAGCTCAGGCTAGTCCTGAATTATGTAGTCTTCCCATTGTACAGGGAAAGCATTTCTCAAAAACAAAGTAACCTAAGATCTTTAAGATAGTAGCAAGAAGTCTGAGTTGGTGGCAGCCTTTAATCCTAGCAGCACTGGAGAGGCAGAGGCAGGCGGATCTCTGTGAGTTCCAGGCCAGTCTGGTCTTCAGAGTATGTTCCAGGACAGCCTCCAAAGCAATACAGAGAAACCCTGTCTGGAAAAACCAAAAAAACCAAAAAAAAAAAAAAAAAAAAAAAAGAAAAAAGAAAAAAAAGTAGCAAAGTTGCAGTTTAATGCAAAAAGGAAACCTCTACTGTGGCATCATCCTGCCTCAGCCTCAGTACTGGGATCACAGACATGCACCGCCATGCCTGCCATGGGTCTACCCTAAGACTGAGTACACAAATGAAAAACAGCTCAGTTCCCTTTCCAACTTCAAGCTGGTCAACTCTAGAATTACACATGGTGGTCTAGAGGAACACTGTAGACTCAGACCTGCTTCATCTCCCTGCACCACTCAACACTGAGCCCCCTGCCTTGGGAACGCGCCAGCCAGCTTCAATCCAGCCACACATCTCAAAATATTTGGGGACAAAGGTCACTTTTTGGTGATGCTGTTTTGTGGCTGTTACTGTTTCCTTTCACCCCTTTAACAAATTAAAACCTTTTAATGATTACATTCGTTTATTATTTAGGGGCGGGGCATGCACACCATGGCACATGTGTAGAGATCAGAGGATGACTTGGGGAAATCAGTTCCCTCCTTCAAGCACGATCATACTTAGGCCCTCAGGCCCAGCAGCCAGGGCTTTCAGTGGCTGAGCCATCTTGCTGGTCTGTTGCTGGTGACTTGGACAGAGTCTGGCTTGGAATGCTAAATCCTCCTGTTCCATCTCCAAAGTCCTAGGATTATAGGTATCACCATAGGAGACAACTCTAAGGCCTTACTTTCTTCACTGCTGTCTGTTGAACCCAGAGCCTTGAGCAAGTATGTTAAGACTCTGAGCTACACTTTGGGATATCTTACTGCACTCCACCATGACATGTCTTACTAAAGATTTATTTATTTTTAATAATGTGTATCTGTGTATGAGCTTGTGCATGTAAGTGCGGATGTCCATGGATCCCAGAGGTGTCAAGTACTTTTGGAGTAGGATTTAAAGGTGGTTGTGACCTGCCCAATGTGGGCATTGGCAAATGAACTCAGTTCCTCTGCAAGAGCTGCGCCTCTCTCAGTCCCAGGACAGCCTCCAAAACAATGCAGAGAAACCCTGTCTTGAAAAACAAAAAAAGACAAAAAACAAAAAAACAAACAAAAAAGACTTACAATCATGTGTGTGTGTGTGTGTGTGTGTGTGTGTGTGTGTGTGTGTGTGTGTATGTATGTGCGTGCATGCGCACGCACAAGCTGCCATAGTGAGTGTACAGAGGTCAGATGACAACTTTCAGGAGTTGGTTCTCTTTCCACCATGAGGTTCTGGGTATGGAACTCAGGTTCTCAGGTTTGGCAGCAAACACTTTAACCCACTGAACCATGTCACTGGTGCATGATTTCTCAGGTCTAAGCAGAGGAGAGCTAACTTCAGAGACATCACACACCCCAGAACAGAGTCTAAAGAGCACAGGGAATGGCTCAGTCACGTGCTCAGCCAGGCACGACATCACGTGTGCTCACCTTCAATTTCTGAGATCTTCTTCTCCGTCTCCTTCTCCATCACCTTCTGCCCATAGGTGATTTCTGCAACCTGAGCCACTTTTTCTGCCTCTGAGAAAACGAAGTAGAGAAACGATTTAGTGCCGACATGCCAAAGCCTGGCTAGGGCAGTGAGATGATGCAAGTTCAACCCCAGGACCCATGTGGTAGAAGGAGAGCTGATTCCCACAGGCTGTTAGCCTCCGCATAAGCAGCCGTGCACGCATGTGCCCACACACAGTCAATGTAAAAGCAGAAAACCTGGACTGACTGTACCTTCCCCTGACCTGAGTGCCCTAACACCTGAATAGCTATGCTCACAGAGCCAAGTCTACAAGGGGCAGCTGCAATAGGTACACCTGAGAGACAAATGTCCCAGTGAGCATAGGAGTATATCAATGTATATCAGCATCAAACAGTAACTGGAGACACTGACCCAGGAGAAAGGCATGCTTCCGGAAGTCAGGGGCACAGCCTAACTTCTCTCCCAAGCCAACCCTTAAAGAATAAGTTCCACCTGACACCCACTTTAGGAAACAGCTCAAGGTGATAGCTGTGACCAGAGATCTGGAGCAGAGCTCCAGTGTGTCCTCTTACTTGCCACAAGACCTCAGCCATGTTCAGTAAAACACAGCAAGCACCTCAAGAAGGCTCAGTGGGTAAAAGTGATTGTCAGACAAGTCTGGCAACCTGAGCACACAGTGCAAGCAGTGAACCATTCCCCAAAGTTGTTCTCTGACCTCCGCAACTGTGCCATGGTGTATGAGCTCCGACTCACAGGCACATAACACACACACACATACACACACACACACACACACACACACACACACACACAAATAAAATTTAAAAACCAAACAAGCAATAAAGTCCAAGCAAATGACAGTACGTTCCTCTGGTGGTGATATGACAATTGAGTCACTTCACATTTGAAAAACTCAAGACTCACTAGCTGTGTCCGACCATTTCCACTTGGCTCCTGAGATGAATGCCACCCCAGCACACTGGAGGCATTGTGGAGGCCTTAACTGTGCCCTGGCCTTCCTTACATCCCCCCTCTTCCCTGAAGGATTAGAGAACCATGTGCAGACCAATGAGGGCCTTCTTCCTCTCTGTCTCTGCCTCCTTTTCCACCACCTTCTGCTTCTGGGCTGCAATGAGAAGCTTCGTCTTCTCGCTTTCCCTGGAAGGAAGAAGCACACAGCTGTGAGGCTGTTCTGGACAGTTGCTGGAGACCAGTGCTCACTGGCTGAGGAGAGGCCCACTAGTGTGTCTTTGCGCTCCTGTGCAGGGTGTTCAGCGGCTCAGCCTTGACTGATCTGTGTAAGGTTTCCTTTCGTGGGAAATAAAACACACGACGCCTTGGTATACATATGCTTGCAGACCCAGCGACTCAGGAAACTGAGGCAGGACAGCCTGAACACAGGAGCTGGACACTTACCATGGCCCTTTCAGAGTAAACCAAAACAGGGACATTCTACTGTAATAAAACAGAGCTGCCAGCAAGCTTGACCTGTCTGTCCCTGTTATCTCCACTTCTGCTTTGATTCTTTTGCTTTTCAGACGCATCGCAGCCCCGCGTGCTGACACGCCAGCCCAACTTTAGAGTATAAAAGACTAACAAATGCTCAAGGAAGGGGAAAATTTGAGCTTGTGGCTCGGGGAAGGGTGGGGGTAGCTCATGCTGGACAGCTTAGGCACAGGGCATACTCACATCAGCTCATAGTTCCTGCGGATTGCCTCGGGTATATTGGGCTTTGTCACTCGTACAGCCTGGAGAAGGGCACAAATAACAACTGATGGGAGAATGGAAATGGTCAGGGACGTATGCTCCAATGGGCTCCCGGTGTCCTGTGCTAAATCAGCATCCCTTAGGAGAGGGCATGCAATGTCAAATACAAGCACTCCCCACCGGGGCAACGCTTACCTGGATGACAAGCCCCGGGGCCATGGAGGTCAGGTCCTGTTGCAAAGCCAACTTGAGGTTTTCATCAATTTGATCTGGAGTCAAGAAAGACACAAATGGAGTTGTTAGATTATCTTGATGAGGAGAGAAGAAAGCACGAGTGAAAACACTAGTCCACTGACTCAGAATAGTGAACATAACAAGCCAGACGCCTAGACTGAGACCCTGGAGCAGTCCTCCACCAAGTGAGAGCTTAGTGTAAACTCTCACTTTGACCTCAAAATAAAGCTCCTTCATTGTTTAGAACATCAGCCAGACTTTCCAGGGTGCCTGGCTTAAGAAACAAGAAGCAATTTACAGTATTCCTTGAGCAGCCTTAAGAGAAGGCAGGCCCACAGTGCCTTGGAGGAGGGTAGCAGAGCTATGTCAGGTTTTCAGAAAAGCAAGGGAAGTTGGGAATGGAAGCACATGCCTGCAACACAGACCTGGGAAACCAAAGGAGAACCATAGGGCTGGCCTGGGCTACACTAGGAGACCCTGTCACCAAAAAGTAGTTATTAAATCTAGTAATTTTATTGGTTAAAACACAAAACAAGGGGCTGAAAGATAGCTCAGTGATTAGGAGCACTTGCTGCAGTATTATAGATATTATCAAATCAAGAATCAATTTTGAAGGTATGGGGGGGGCTCATTTGTATGACTCCAGTATTAAGGAGGCTGAGGCAGGAGTGTCACAAACTTGAGATCCATCTAGGTTACACAGCGAGCTCTGGGTCAGCCTGAGCTACAGCCTAAGACCCTGCAGCAAAAACAAACATCACTGGCTGCTCTTCCAGATGACCCAAGTTCAGTTACCAGCCCCGTGTACCACTCACAAGCACCTGTAACTCCAGCTCCAAAGATCTGACGTCCTCACTGGCCTCTGCAGACACCACCCCATCTCACAGGGCACAAACCTACCATTGCCACCGAAGATCCCTGGCACCGTGCTCTCAGTGTGAAGAACAGTCAAGTGACGGCAGGGGAGGGGGGGTCTGGTTGCAGCTCTCCTGTCTACTAGCAACAGCTCTCTCGCTTTCTTGCTCTAGGCAAGAGTGTGTGAGGCTACATGGCCTTGGCGGATTCTTCTAGAAGCCACTATAGAATAGCAGTGAGAACACTGTTCCAGTCCTCTGTCCAGGCCAGCAGGGACCCCTTTATTACACTCTTACTCCAGCGCTACGTCTGACTACTCCAAAGATCTTCCCATTGTCCTTAACAACTTGGCTTGTCTTTTTGGGGGGTTATTTATTTAGGAAAGCCCTTACTTTGTAGCCCAGGCTGGCCTTGAACTTGCTTTCCTCCTGCCTCAGCCTCCTGAGTGCTAGGATAACAGGTATAGACCAGCATGCTTGGCTGTTCTTGGTATTATCTGGAACTCTCTTGGTGACTGCTCCTGTGTACGTCCCATTCTGTGGTGTGGTAGCTCAGAAGCAGGCAGATATAGGGCTGCTGAAGGCTGACAGGCCTCAGGAGGGGGGTGGGGTGGCACTGATGACGGTCACATTCTTACCGAACAGCTCGATGTAGACTTCCTGAAGTGTGTGTACGCTGCAGAACTGGTTGAGCTCATGATGGATCTTGTTGAAGATGAGGGCCTTGTCATAGTCCGCAGTATAGTTCTTCACTATATCATACACTGCGGGAAGGAGAGGGCGCAGCGTAAGAAACAGTCAAGACTCCAAACCTCTCAAAACTCTCTTGGCTTCCTCAGTTCTCAGTTCTTGTGGTGCCCACAGATGGTATGTGCATGCGCAGGGACAAGCTGGAAGACATACCTGCATTCGGGACCAGGAAGTTCACCACTTCAATTCTATCAAAGTAGATCATCACACCACCACTGTTGGAGTGAGAAGCAACAAAGAAGTCACCAGTGAGCTCTGGAATCTGGTGTCACCTCCTAAGGAGAGGGCTTAGACACGTGACTGGAGGGACGGAAGCTTAGTGTTCATGGCACGTAAGGCAGCTCACACCTCCAGCAGATGTGCAGCACCCCACGAGGAGACAGCAAGACCTCTGCAGCGTGAGGGAGGAAGGGTAGCGCCTATCTTCTGAGTCTGCCTCTCACCCTGGCTCCACCTCACCTCAGCTGGGCTCTGCCTCTCACTCACTATGCTCCGGCCACTGCCTCTCATTGCAGCTGTCAGTCAGCCTTTCCTCTTATCTTACTGGCCAGAGCTCACCAGCTGTCCTCTTGGTAGCTTACCTGGTCCCACACGGTACGTTCTTCACTTCATCTGTTTGGAGAGTGGTCTAGAGACAGAGAAACAGCAAATCATGTAAACGGGCAGTGACAGAAACCAACCTACGATTTGGAAGCCCCAAAGCCTTTGTAATTGACTGCTTGTTTGGACTGAGCTTCGCCCTTGCTAAACACGACTGTCCCACCTAATCCCCCTTAACAGGCTGCGCTTTGAAACCAAGCAAAAGTACCACCTACTCTGGTGTTTCTGTGCCTGAAGCACATATGGATGGCAGGGTCATAAAGAAACGGCACTGTGTTTGGAGCCTGATGAGTGTCTTACTAGTGCTGAAGCACAGACTCCCTTTCTGACTGGTTTCACAATACAGTAGCTGCTCAACATTACTGTGGAGCCTCAGATAAGAAAAAGCACCCAATGCGCTGTGAAGTCCACACAGCAAGGCAGAGGCAAGCTGCTCGCTGCTGGGCTATTTTCATCTTCTCTCCCTCTCACTCTTTTGTGCTAAGAGCCTTGTGTACGCTAGCCTCTGACCCTATCTCTGTCTCTGTGTGACAGCCCCACCCCCTGCCTGCGGTGCCTGAGTTTTCTTAGTTGGATATACTCTAGAGATGCTAAGTCTACCTCAGCCTAGAGAAGGTTGGGTACAACCATATAACTTCCTCCCATTTTACATGGCATTGGCCCTTACCCAACCAACTTCCCTCCCCATGCAATTAAGTTCACACAATATAGGCAAAATTCCATGTTTTATCTCTACCTGTCTTGGCAATCTGTGATTTAATATATACAAACACCCAACTTTTCTTCTAAACATTCATAACAAATTCTTCTTTAGTCCACCTCAAAAGTGAGGAAATAATTTCCACTTGGGCTGATGGGCCAAGGCAAGGCAATGGCTCCATTCAGCTATTTCAATGATCAAGTAATATCATAAGACCCCCTTCCCCCGCCTCCCTCTCTGGGTGTGTGAGAGAGAGGTCCTTAAGAAAGCCTCTGAAAAGGCATTTGACTCATCTACCAACTACGTCATTTCAGACTGTGTATGAATCAACAACCCGTATATGTAGTGATCCAAGCACACCGCAGCCACATATACCTGCACAGACTTATAGGATGTGATGAATGGGAGCATGAGATGGAAACCGGGGCCGCTGGTGGAGGTCAGCAAGGCGCCACCTCTGTAGAGGAGGAGAAAGGGGGTTCAATATCCCAGTCATCTCTCAAATCAGTGATCGCAGCCTGAGGGCCACCACCCCTCTGGGGGTTGAAAAACCATTTCACAGTGGGCACCTAAGACCACCAAAAACACAGGTATTTACACTATGATTCATACTGGTAGCAAAATTAGTTATGAACGAAAACAACTATGGTTGGGAGTCACCGCACCATGAGGAACTGTACTAAAGGGTCACAGCATTAGGAAGGTTGAGAATCACTGCCTCAGATGAAGACTTATGGGCCAGTCATCTCTCTGCTCCTATAAAAATGTAGTGTATAGTGACACATGTCAGTCACACGTCCACCCCCTCTCCCTTTCTCCCTTCTGTCTCAACTCCAATACTCTAGGGAGCCTGGTGAGAAAACAAAAACCCATTAGTCATACTTTTTCCACCCGAGAAGTAAGTATGCAGACAAAGCAAAACAAAGACAGCAGAGTCCCTGGCTACACGAGAGAAGTCTGTCCCAGCTGCTGGGCCTGTGGTATAAACCCAGTAATACAGTCATCAACGAGCGGCATTTCTCTTGGTAGGCCAGTGACACGGGCAATTAAAACAGTAATTGTATCAGCAATGCTAGGATTGAACCCAGGGTATCACACATTCTAGTAAAGTATTGTCATGAGCTACACCGTGTTCCAGAAGCATCCAGGGACTCACAATATCCGACTATTTTTGAGACAGATCTTGCTACATAGCCCTGATATCTGTAGTACTTCCTATATAGCCCAGGATGATCTGAAACTCACAGCAGCCTTCTTGCCTCAACCCTCACCCAATCGGTGGAATTACAGGTGTTGAGCCACACTTGGTTCAAGAATAATTTTTTTTTTTGGTTTTACGAGACAGGGTTTCTCTGTATTGTTTTGGAGGCTTCAAGAATAATTTTAAAGTCATTTCAATACATACCAAGTATACAATATATGTTTTGACGCATATATATTCCTGATCAAGCTGTATGTGAGTGACAAAATTAAAAGCTTTGGGGGAGCATGAAAACAGAGGGTAGAGATAAATTACTAGCCAGGCGGTGGTGGCGCACAGCTTTAATCCCAGCACTTGGGAGGCAGAGGCAAGCTGATCTCTGTGAGTTCTGCCTGGTCTATCAAGCAAGTCCCAGGACAGGCTCCAAAACAATACAGAGAAACCCTGTCATGAAAAACCGAGAGAGAAAGAGAGAGAGAGAGAGAGAGAGAGAGAGAGAGAGAGACAGAGAGAGAGAGAGACAGACAGAGAGAGAGAGAGACAGAGAGAGAGAGACAGAGAGAGAGAGAGAGACAGAGAGAGAGACAGAGAGAGAGAGAGACAGAGAGAGAGAGAGACAGAGAGAGAGAGACAGAGAGAGAGAGAGACAGAGACAGAGAGAGAGAGAGACAGAGAGAGAGAGAGACAGAGAGAGAGAGAGACAGAGAGAGAGAGAGAGACAGAGAGAGAGACAGAGAGAGAGACAGAGAGAGAGAGACAGAGAGAGAGAGAGAGAGACAGAGAGAGAGAGAGACAGAGAGAGAGAGAGACAGAGAGAGAGAGAGAGACAGAGAGAGAGAGAGAGACAGAGAGAGATAAATTACTAAAGAGGAAGTGGGAATGCAACAAAAGATTAAACATTTTTATTATTATTACTTTTTAATTAGCGGTCTTGAGTATGCCAGTCAGAAATGCTTCCCCTGAGCTACAATTCTAACTCAACTTCAACGTGTTGATGCCTGCATTTAATCCTAGTACTTGAAAAGTATGGGTAGGCGAACCTCTGTGAGTTCAAGTCAACCTGATCTACACAGAGCGTTCCAGACTAGCCAGAGCTACACAGCAGGACCCTGTCTCAAAAAGGGGGCGGTGGAAAAGCCTGGAGGTGTAGTTCAATTGTAGAGCCAACAGCTCAATATGCCTGAGTTTGATCCTTACCACCACAAGCAAAACTATCAGTCAAGCAAATTCCCCCTTCTAAAACCTAAAACAAAAACCTTGGTCAAAGAAGCCACTGGAAAGAAAGTAACTCAAGAGTATTTAAAGGGTCACTCTCCCAAAGCTGCCTTGATTGATATAAATAAGCCTGTAGAGTCTTTACACTTTCTTTAAATACTCACTTTAAAACACTCTCTCAAGCCAGGACTGGTGGCACACACCTTTAATCCCAGCACTCGGGAGGCAGAGGCAGAGGCTGAGGCAGGTGGATCTCTTCATTTGAGACCAATCTGGTCTACAGAGTCAGTTCCATGACAGCCAGAACCACACAGAGAAACCCTGGCTCTGAAACAAACAAACAAACAAACTCAACAACACAAAACAGTCTCTCCAGTTAGCAGAGCACACTCCTCAAGTTGCCATCAAGAACTGAGACTCCACAACTTTTGGAGGGGTAGCCTGGTGGTGTGGAGACAAGATACTTCAAAGGGATGCAAGAGAAAACAGTATCTCAGAAATGGTCTTGAGAGAGTAGTGATTCCTTGAGACTTTTGTCTGTAATCCTATAAATACAAGTATCAGTATCGCCTTAAAATGCTAAAGACAATTTTAAATTTAAATAAACACACACACACATGCCCTTGCCCATGGCTGCCGCCTTAGAAGCTCCACCTGAAAAGCCAGTCCGCTCATTTAACAAAATATATGGATGTTAGCAGGCTCTGCTCGCCGGTGACCACGGAGAGCAGCCACCTGTTTCTGCCTTACCTGTAATATACTCCAATATGTCCCTCTTCTATCTTGTGCACAGCAGAGAAGAGAGACGCACAAAAGAAACTGGAGGCCACGGCCACAACTGCTCCCAGCTGAGCCATCAGTGAACCTGTATCCTAGAGATAAGAGAGGGGATAATGCATGGCCTGGGACGTGGGAGACAGGCTGCAGCACCGCGAGTAGCTCGCCAAGCTGTGGCTCACGGAACGCCTGTTGTAGTAGAAACACAATGCCAGCCAGAGCTACAGCTCGTTTCATCCTTGTTCTGGGTCAGCATTCCGTTCCTTAACGGTGGGAGTATAATGCCCACTGCAGAGAACAGGCCACTAGCTCCAGATGCTGCCATACCTAAGGGAGATCCGGTGCCAACTGGGCAGGGCTCAAAACACAGCCGCCTCTTCACTTCATTAATGTGTTGTCACTGGAGTCACTTTAAGTAAGGGAAGAGAGGCAGCTGCAGTGTGTTGGCCCAAATTACAGAGGATGTCGAACGACAGGCAGCTGTGGCTATGTGTTTCTGGACAGAGCCTCCTACTTCTAATTGCCTGCCATTTCGAAGGAAACCATCAGTCATTCCCTTGGGACTCTGAGAGAGACAGCAGGCAGTTGAGCTCCGAGGCAGGAATTCTCTGGCCTGTCATCTGTCTTCCCAGTCATTCCTTTGGATTTAAGCGGGACAGATCTCTGAACAAAACTGAAACCAAACTCTCCCATATCCTTTGCCCCCAAGTTCGGTGGTTATAGGAAACTGGGAGTGCCTCGGCTTGGGGTACTCTGGACTCCTGGAGGCTCGCAAACGGCCAGGCACCACACCGAGCGTCTGGAAAGACTATGGTGACGGATCGGCACATTGGCACAGTGCGCGGATTCCAACGCTCAGATCTAACTTATTTATTTATTTTTACCGTGGCGGCTTCCAGCTGCCGAGCAGCGACAGCGTCCTCTCTGCAAATGCCCTCACCACCCCGCCGCCCCACCTCGCGCCCTTTCCCCGCCCTCCTCCACGGGACGGGCACGTCGGAGGGCTTCCGCTCGGACCCGTGGGCAGGAGACTGGACACACAGGGCTTCTCCCTGCTCCCGGGTGGGCGGACTGAGGGTGAGCGGCTGCGAGGGCCAGAGCACTGGAGCTCCGCCAGGATCAGCTCCATCGCCGAGCCGCGGCGAGGCCCAACGTGCACTGAGGGGCGGGGGCTGCGTACCAGGCTGTCCCTCCAGGCGCTCCGTACACGTCTGAACCCCCCGTGCAACCGCAGAAACCGCCACACCCCTCAGCACGCTACTTCCTTCCGGACCAGTCGCTTCTCGATGACGCCATCAATCCGCGCAAAACTCCGCCTTCCCCACCCCGGGCTCGTCCGCCCGCCCCGCCCCTCGCGCAGCGAGCGGCAGTGCCCGGCGGTGCCACCAGGGGGCGCGCGCGAGCCGACCCGGCAGCTGCAGACGGACCTGCGATTGCGGGTCTGAGGATGCCCAGAGTTGCAGGTGCCCTGCGCTGGGAGAGTGGGTGGGCTCCCGACACCTTCCGAGGTCCTGACTTTCGAGATGGCTTAGATAGTCACCTTCGATTCCGTTAGAGCTGGATTTCTTTCTTTCTTTCTTTTTTTTTTTCTTTTTCCGGAGCAGCTTCCAGAGCGATGCAGCGTTCTCGTCCTCTGTCCTGCCTTCCTGCTGCACCAGCCAGATGAAAAAACTTCCAAACGTGCAGATTATGACGTCGCTAGTCAACAGTTCTACTCTGAATTGCTCTTTATATTCTGAGAGCTTTGTTTAGCCTTGAGGTCCCCACAGCAACATAAGGCAATTAACAAGGGATTATTGTCCTGGTTTTAATGAACGGAATCTGACTCTGTGAGGGGTGAGGCCAACAACAGTCATTGAAAACTTCCTTTGCATTTCCTTAATAGTTGGGGCTTCCTGTCTGGGTTAACACCTGCCACGGTGAGCTCGTGTCCGCCATCTGCACCTAGGGACATAGTGGACCAGAAAGAGAACCAAACTTCATGTCTCTTAGTCTAAGGTCTTCACGTGTTCTCGCTCTGCAGCAGCGTGGTATTGGGACACTCATATTGAGCCTTTCTCCTCTTTTGTTTGGGGGTGGAAGCAGGGGCTTTGTGGTCCCACTCTTTCTCCAAGCTGCTTCCTTAGCAGGGAATTTCTGAACCAGCCACTGAAGCCATTTTATTTGCAGGTCAGGAAGTGCCTGCTTTAATACTAGCTTTTAGTAAATGAAAAAAACCTTTCCATACAGTAGATGGCCACTTGTCAATGTTAGACGATTTTAGGACTCAGGAAAGGGAAAGAACCTCTCTCAAAGTCAAGGCCCTGAAACTGAATTCAAAGTTCCGGGAAGCCAGATGTTTGGGGACTGCAGAAGAAAAGCAGCCCCCCCATACCCAGTGGCTGCAAAAGCAGACAACAGACCGTGTAGTTGTCTAGGGGAAAGGGTTAATTCCCCATTCTGTCCCTCATGAGCCCTTCTCAGCCACTCTTAGCTACAAACCCCAGATTGAAGCATGGAATCTGCATTACCCCTGAACTCTGGTTCCCGAGTGACTGGATCCTGTGCCCTGATGAGGGTGTGGTCACAGTTTGAGAATGCATCTCTCCATCGTTAAAAACAGAAGCCTGCTTCAGCTGTTTGAGGTCATCTAAATTCTCATCTTTTGTTTCTCCTTGTAGGTAATTACTATTGGAACCAAAACCCAGGAAGGGCTTCCAGGGTATTATAGCCCTACAGGCCCCTTTCCTTACCTCTGTCCTATCCCCCTGTCTCCAGTCTGAAGTTGCTTTCTCTTCCAAATGCCACTCCACCTTAGTCCTCACTAAGGCTAAACAGCAGGCCTCATCTGGCGCCTTAGCAGCCTCACTGATAGGTGAATGGGGAGGTGCTGTTTAGTCTGAAGTCCATGTTGGCAGAATTGGTAAGTGTTCTTGCCCTTACCCTCTGAGGAGACCTGGAGTCCCCAGAGGCCTACCTTTGCTATTTCTAGAGCTATACCCCACATCAGCCGCTCTCCCTCTTAGCACACATGTGGGTAAGGATCCATTTGTTCACAGCACAATCCTGGGAATTCAACCCTGCTTCAGGAGTCTTTCTCCTCTCTGGAAACTCTCGGGAATTCCATTCCAGTGAAACTTCTGTCCCTGGAGGACATTCCAGACCAGGAAACTGGCCTTGGCCCTACAAACATGGGCAATAGTCCCTCTGTTCCCAAAGACAGTCCTTTGGCTTGCTTTAAAATTTTTTTTTCAAACAATTGGGCCTCAAGTTAGATGTTGATCTGGGCCTAATATCCCCATGACAACCCAAACTGCTGGCCTAAATTTGTCAGGTTCCAATCAACCGTCTTGCAGGACCTCAACAAAAATGTCTGGAATGAAATGGCAAACAGAGGTTCCCTATCCCCTCTCCTTCCACTATAAGTTTAGAGGACCAAACTCAGGCTGTCAAACTTGTATAGTAAGCCTGCCACCCCAACCCCCTTGCCCTCTGAGCCACCTAACTATTCCTTAAGTGAAGGACTCTGAAGAGGATTTTATGTGAACCCTGTCTTATGGAAGGAAGAATTTACCTGATGGGGGCTGTCCTTCTGTATGCTGTGAATATGTTTCTCTTATTGGCTGATGGATAAAGCTATTCTGGCCAATGGACAGGCAGGATGTAGCCAGGCAAGAAGTATAGGAGGAGTTACCAAACTAGGAGAATTCTGGGAAGAGGAAGGCAAAGAGTGAGTCGTAAGGGAGACACCATGTAGCTACTGGGAAGGAAGGACGCCTGGGCAGTCTCTGGTAAGCCAGGACCATGAGGAGACACACAGACTAATAAAAATAGGTTGATAATTAAGAGAGAGCTAGCCAATAAGAAGCCTGAGCCATCAGCCAAACCGTTTATACTTAATATAAGCCTCTGTGTGTCTATTTGGGACTAAACCACTGTGGACCCAGTGGGACAGAAACTTCTGTCTACATTTACCAGATGATTAAGAAGCTCACTTGGGGGAAAATGATACGCTGGCCATTTGTGATTGGATGGCATCTGGAGGAGTTAGTGAAGTTACACAGCGCTCTGTTTGAGGACAGCCCTGATTTAGGAAGTTCCCAGGCCTCCCTCTCAAATCACCCACTTCCCCAATAAGAAGGGAGACTTAAAGATTTCAAATAGGCGGGATGGAGCAATGGCTCGGCAGTTAGGAGCACTGACTGCTCTAGCAGAGGAGCCTGGTTTGATTCCCAGCCCCCACAGGGCAGCTCACTGACATCTATGTTCTTGGTTTTAAGAGCTTTGGCACCCTCTTCTGGCCACCATGGGCATTGCACACACACGGTGCACAGACGTGATAGGATTTGCTTTGCTAGTTCTTTCCAGAGCCTGCCTAGCTCCTCCTTTTTCTGCTCTCCTCCCTGCTGCCTGTCTTCCTACAAATGCTACGTTTCCTGGGCTTCCATTCCAGGCGTTTTCTTTAGAATGTCTGCGGCTCCTCGACTCTCTTCTCAGTGAATGGCTGAAAAGGTCCTGATGGGCAAATGATTGTTTCCCCCTCTTTCTAGGGAGCAAAGGGCTCCTGGGAGGCCACGGTGACTGATGAGCCCTGAAGTAGGCGGCTGCTATCTGCTGTTTCAGTCTGTCACCATTTTCTCTGGTGACCGCACTGCTGTTCGGTGTTCTGTGTTCTGGTGGCTTGTGCACAGTGAACAGAGTTGCCTTCTTGAAGGGACACCTACAGCATATCCAATGTCGGTGGAGTTGTCCTATCCCGAAGCTGCTCTCAAAGAAACACGTTGAGGCTTATATTAAATATACATGCTCGGCCCATTACTAACTAGCTCTTACATTCTAAGTAAACCCATATTCCTTATTTACGCTCCACTATGTGGTGGTACCTTAATTAACATGGCATGCTCATCTCCTGCGCCCTCTGTGTCTGGCTGGTGACTCCAGACTCCGCCCTTCTTCCTCCCAGCATGCTCCTCGACTGGCTCTCCTGCCTAACCTTAGTCTGTTCAGCTATTGGCCAGTCAGCTCCTTCATTGAACCAATCACAGTGACGTCTATTCACACAGTGCTATTCCGCAGCAGGGCAAGCTCTGGAATGAAATTCTAAGTGTTCATCCTCTGATTTCTTCTTCGCCTCTTACTCCTCAGTTCATGTATCAGTTTTCGAGTCAAAGCAAACAGGCTGGCGAGGTGGTTTCTCGGGCAAGAAGTGCTCAGCTTTAAGAATTCTGGGGTCAAGTCCTGGGGCTTTGAATTTGTGTTGCTGCGGTTCCTCCCCCCCTCTCCCCTTCTTTGCTGTAATTTTGCATATCGCAGGTCTTGCCCGCTGTCTGGTTTACAGTACGGATGTCTGGGGACCTCATTCCTAAAACAACCACTTATTTCCTTTGCTGTCCCCACCGAATTCACCCAATTTTCATCTATGAATACTGAGGAAGATACTGAAAATGTAGACTTGTGGTGAAGCCAGGAGCGCAGGTACTGCGGCTGGTGTGCCGCCTGCAAGGTAATAGGTTTAAAGCAAGTACTTAGGAGCAAGAATTGGAGAAGAGAATGAGAGTGGATCAGGGGGTGGTGGAGGTGGGGGGGGGGAGGATGAGCAGCTCAAGAAGCTTTCTCTAGAAGGTGTAGGCAGCCTGTGACGCAATCCGTGAGCCACACCACCAAGGCAGCTGCCTTCCACTCCCACACGGATGAGGGCTCCAACCACATCCTAAGAACCAGGAGGAGTAGAAGGAAATGAACTTCATGTCCGAACTGTGAAAGCACCGTCCATCTCCTGCCTGAGCAACTAAGGATGTACTATAATTAAACCTTCCAACCTGTCCACAGGAAAGGAAAGAACTTTTGATGAAGCAGCTTCCACATGCCCGCCTCTTGCACAGCGGGTCCAAGCCTCCCACAAAGGAACCCCTGGTGGATCGCATCTGAGGAGTAAGAAGAGATAGATCGCATCTGAGGAGTAAGAAGAGATAGATGGTCCTGCTAGCATGGACACCATCTGTGCCCATGATCTCCATCAGACCCAGGAGGTAAGATTCACTGGGACATCTCCACGAGGACTACAAGGAGGACTACTCTTCGTGTTCATCTTGTCGTCACTGGACTCAAGACTGAGCATCCTGTCTAATATAAAAGTACTGGGTCCCGTTTTATTAAACAGTGCCCTTTTGACTTAGATGATGTCAGTAAGTTGTCACATGTGTAAAAGGATGGCTCTAGCGATGGGTTCTGACCCACCCACCTCAGAGTTTCCTCACAGACGAAGTTATCTTATATTTGCCATTATAATTTAAATCCAACTTTCTCTCATTAAGATGATGTCACACACTATCTTCTCTGCTTAGCAACTGACATCTGCATGCCTTCAGCTGTGCTTGCCTTAAGTGATTTGTTATGTATTTGGACTTGTTATATATTATTAATCCTTCACAGAAGAAAGAAATGGACAAGGCCATCCCAGCCAATTGTTTATGATTAGGCCCTAATTACTTAGGGCGGCACACACACACACACACACACACACACACACACACACACGACTTAAAAGTGGCCTCCTGTTTTGCAGGTAAGGTAAAACTGTCATACATAAATAGTGTTTAATTTTCTTCCAGGGAAGATTTCTCATGACAGTAAGTTTGTTAATCATGTCTCACAGTATTAAGAAAGGTTAAAATGTCTGAATGTTTCCAAAACTTGGAGAAAAAAAAAAACAAATAAGAGGGAATCGTCCTCAATGATTTCCTTTTTTTCTTTTTTAACTTTATTTTATGTGCATTGGTGTGAAGCTGTCAGGTCCCCTGGAACTGGAGTAACAGACAGTTGTGAGCTGCCCTGTGGGTGCTGGGAATTGAACCTGGGATGTCAAGAGCAGCCTGTGCTCCTAACCACTGAGCCACCACCCCAGCCCCTCCTGGATGATGTCTAATGAGGATTAAAAAGCATGAACAACACGGCTTGTCATGTAAGTCAACAGTTACAGGTCAGCATTAAAGATCTTTAGTTCTGAGGACGTTCCCCCTGTGAGTTCTTGTTTACAAAGACTGTTCCCTCATCCCAAACTACTGATATGTCTAAAGCTCTTGTTCAGATGTAAACTCATCCACTCAGGATCTGTGAGACCAAACAAAACCATAAAAGTTTAAAACCAAGTCACTAAAAGTCCAAATAAGCCCCACAAGGTTTACAGAAGATGTCTTGAGGCAAGTTTGTTAATTCTTAAGGTGATGGTATATTCTGTCCATGCTGACAAAAACTGACTTTAAAATGTATGTCTAATCACTTAGGTCTTTGTTAATGTCATTAAGCTTTAACCCTTTGGGGGAAACTGAGTCGCAACAGTAGCCGTGTTAACGATTAGCTGTATGTTTTTATTTTTTTAAAAATTTTTTAATTTTGTGTACACGGGTATTGTGGCAGTGTGATGTCATGTGCTGTGTTAATTTTGTGTGCATGGGTATTGTGGCAGTGTGATGTCGTGTGCTGTGTTAATTTTGTGTCCATGGGTATTGTGGCAGTGTGATGTCATGCACTATGTACATGTAGTGCCCGAGGTACCCAGAGGAAGATCCCCTGGACCTGGAGTTACAGACAGTTGTGAGTCACTGTGTGGGTGCTGGGAATTGAACTTGGGTCCTCTGAAGAGCAGCTGGTGCTCTTAACTGCCCAACACCTCCCTTCATTTTTATTCTCATGAAAGCCACCTTGACTGTTCTCTCCTGTTATTATATTCTTTATGATAAACACAAGCATGCTTCAGCTGGGTTCCTGGCAGGAACGTGTTAGCTTCCCACCGCTGTGGTGAAAACGCCTGAGGTAAACAGCAAAGGTTCCCTTTGGCTCGTGTCCTCAGAGGTTCCAGTCTGCGGTTGCTGGGCAACGTTGCTTTTGGCCTGGTGGGTACCATATGTCATGGCAGGGGTGTGTGGTGGGAAGAGAGCAGTGTGCATCAGGCCAGAGAGGAGAGAGGAGAGCAAGGGACCAGGGCACTAACAATCCCTTCTCTAATGACCTAACTTCCATGAGGCCTAGTGTCCTAACTGTTTCCCCGCACCCCGTAATACCACAAGCTGGTGACTGGCCTTTGGAGGCATATTGAAAATCCAAATCCACAGAGCCCGTGAGGAGTTCTAGAGGAAGATGGCTGACGGGGAGGGTGAGTTCCCATAGAAGTCTGGAGAACAGAACCCACTGTCTAGGGCAGGGGTTTTCAACCTGTGGGTCACAACCCCTTCGGCAAACCTCTATCTCCATAAATATTTACATTACGATTCATAACAGTAGCAAAATTACAGTTATGAAGTAGCAACAAAACTAATTTTATGGTTGGGAGTCACCACCCATGAGGAAGTCTATAAAAGGGTGACAGCGTTAGGAAGGCTGAGAATCCCTGGTTGGTGGTTGGTGATGGGTAGGATGGAACATTTGTGTGATGTAGGAAATCCGTATGTCAGCCCATCCCACTGAACCAAATTCCAAAGAGACGAATCACTTGTTTCTTGGGAAAGATCAAGCTCGGGGAGAGGTTGGGCTGTAAATCCTGGGAAGGAAAGACTTTAATGCACTTCGAAATCAGGCAATCAGGCCTGAAATGCCCATAATGTTTGTCAGTCCACACTACAGTGTTCTCAAGCAAGTGTACAGGGCGTGGGGAAGGAAGTATGGCAGGTATTTGATTTAAAAAGCCTGCCCAGATTTAATGTCCTGATAAAATGTATTAAATCTTTTAAGGGTTTAATGAATCTAGTATGTGTTTCATAAATCAAGAACTCTGCTAAGCCGTCTCCTGGTTTAATAAGAGCAAACTAGGAAATGGCTCTAAGCAGAAACAAAATGCATTTATATCACACTGCAAAGTAATAGATTTTTACGCTGAGGGGGTCTTTCTGGGCCTTTTAAGCTGTTTGCTTACGACATTGCTCCAACTCCTTCAAATATTAAGCCACAGGCAAGCATGTGCTTAACCGTATCAAGATGTGGGCTAGGGCAAAGGTAAATATTATTTGTAAGAGGGAAGAAAACAAAACCAGTGTTTCCTTAACCCTCACACAAGGACCGTCTTGGTTTCTGAACTTAAACTTGGATCTCCGTTAAGGTGAGGGTTGAATAGTTCTCCCCCTCTTCTTCATTTCTTGGAGTGGCACTCAAGGACTTGTCAGTGTTACTAAGCCAGTGCCCAGCTAACTAAGTGAAGTAGGCCCTTTGCTTTAGAAATCTTTATTAATGGTTCTAAGCTTTCTATCTCTACTCAGATTTCCTCTGCATCCTAACCCCCTTAACATATTGCAGGCTGACACGGTGAGTATGTAAAACCAGTCTTGAGATTTACAGCTGACCGGAGTGGTTGTCAAGAGTGATGGACCCGGATGCAGCCGTCCGGAGCAAGCCTTCAAACAACCGTTCGCATTTCCTCCACTGCCTAGGCTGCGATGCTGGTCTCTGTTACTTTTCCTTCTTCCTGTCCTACTGCTCAAGCCCCAAGGTGGGTGGGGAGAGGGCCTTGGGGACTTAGGTGTCATAGATGGGTATCTCCCGCAGGGCAAGCTCCACTACCCTGCCCCTTTTGTAGATGGGCGAGGTTCTGGGTGAGAGGGTGGTTGGGGAGCTGGGGGAGGTGGTGTTGGAGGAATGAAGGGGGGGGAGGGCCTGAACATTCCAGTGCACAAAAGCTGGCAAGACTGTGAGCTCTGCAGGGGAGGGAACGGGCTCCATAAAACTCAGTGTGGAGAAGCCTGTCCAACCTCATTAGCTGTCACGGGCAACAATACTGATCTGGCAATAAAGGCGATTCCAAACCTGTTGGTCATTAATCACCCGCCTGACAGTTGCGAATGGAAGTGGAAAAACTTCACCCCCTCTTCCTTACCCCCCTCCCCTGGCCCACTGGAGTTTAGAGTTACCTCCGGGTAGACGGGTAGCCGTGTGGTTCCCTGCTGTGCCCTGGTCTCCTCTCCCATGGCTGCTTTGCCAGGCCCTTTTCAGTGTAGAGGCCTCAGGATGGTCAGGGCTTGGAAGCACACAAGGACCAGAGGGGAAGGAGGAAGTCGAAAGGGGTGACCTCCAGAGCCTGCCTTGTGCCCTAGACAGCCGCGAGATCCGGAGGTTTGTCATCCCTCCTCCAGGCCACCTTTCCACACCCTCTGGCACACCTTCTCCTCGTCTTCGGCCACTGGATGTCAACACACTTCCTTCACTTCCTTTTCTTTCTTCCTTTCTTTTTTTGTCTTGTTTTGTTTTTTTGAGACAGGGTTTCTCTGTATTGTTTTTGGAGGCTGTCCTAGAATTCGCTCTTGTAGACCAGGCTGGCCTCCAACTCACAGAGATCCACCTGCCTCTGCCTCCCGAGTGCTGGGATTAAAGGCATGCACCACCAATGCCCGGCTAACCAGCACACTTTCTTTAATGTTTCTTTCTTGGCCCCTACCCTCCACTCTCAAATAAGCAGGATCCATTCTCAGGAAAACTGCATCCCCTGCAACTTTCCCACTGCGTCTTTGCCATTCCCAGAGGCCCTTTTGTTCCCAGCTTCATTCCTAGTAGGAGCATATGGTGAAAAGTGATGTCTGGTGTGTGAGAGGGAAAGTGTGTGTGTGTGTGTGTGTGTGTGCACGGGTGTGCTTGTGTAGGAATCCCTGAAGTCAACTCACAAGGAGAGCAGCTTGGCTACATGCCGTGTTTCCCAGAGGAGGAAAATGGAGTGCAGAGAATCTTTGCGGGTCATTTAGGAGACTGCCTGGTTCTTAAGGTTGCTTGCAGGTGCTCCAGGACACTTGGATCGAACTGTCACTTGGAAGGAGGACATTGGACTTTTGCTCAGTTTCGCAGCAGGCAGAGGACTAGGGGTGTGAGGGTTAGCCAAGACGTTCTGAAACAGTGGCCTCATAGCGCTTACCATGCCCGGGCCCTGCTGGCAGGCATCAGAGAGTAAGCTGATCGCTAACACTAAGGAGGGGAGAAATTGCGACACACAGTTTCCAGTGGCTGGAAATAGCCCTCCATTTCCCCACACCTTCCTGTTGCCTGGAGTTTCACACTGACCAGGGTCTTGGCTGCATCAGTTGGTGAACTGAGTTCTTGCTGTCCCTCCAAGCATTAGGTAGAGGACGGTAGCTTGTGACCACAGTTGACATGTAGAGCTTCCTCTATGGGTAAATGGAGATAGATGGGTAAGATGGAGAG